ACTATGTACAATATAGTCTCTTCTTTATTCTTACTCTCTAAGAATAACAGAAATAAACATTMAGTTTTGGAGAGAGAAGTTAAGCAAAGAGATGAAAATGTGAAGTGCTTCACAATGATGCTTCTAGATTCTGTTTGAATCTTGCATAGAAAAGATAAAACAAAAACAAAACCCTCACACTAGTGGTTCTATCTCTGAGTTGTTAGATGATGGTTTTGGAGACCTGAGTTTTCTTACTTCTTTCATTGGATCATTTCATAGTCGCCGGTTCTGAGATCATCAATCCCCTCACGTTCCAAACACAAATGAAGAACACTTGGGAGGGATGCTATTTCACTACTCACTAATTTACTCCTTTTCAGGCTCAGACACTTACCTGGTTCAAGAAAATTCCAGTTGGAAAATGTCACAGCTTGCTTTATTCCACCGGCAGTTGCCCAACTGTATTCTCCACGGGAGTCTACATCTCTCAGGCCAGTCCAGAAGTATTTTCTGAGAGACTTATCATACTTTTTCATCATATCATTTAGGTATTCTTGCTCAAATCTATAAAAGAAGAACCACTTTGGCAAATGTTTCACAATCACTGAATTAAAGATGCCTCATTTTCTCAGGCAGATTGTTTAATATAAGAACTCAGAGTTAAAAGTTTTCTAGTACAGGTTTACTGATGGTCACACCTGTTAGTGATAGTCAGATTGCAGTTTGTTCCAAAAGGGACCTCATCCRTGTAAATCTTGTAACAGGTTTCTCCATGTCTCTTCCAGCCCTAAATCAGAGGAGAAATAGCATCACATTGTTTCTTAGACTTGATGGTGTCCCCCTCTGACAATCAAGTTCTGCTACATTGATAACATTTACAAGTTGTGCAAACTGAGGACATGGCTAGTGAAGTCATACACGATGAGGGTGGCTTGCAACTTCATAAATGACCTCTGTAAGACTGTGCCAAACAGAAGGTGTGGCATAATCCTCTTTACCCCTAGGGCCTGGCCTACCATAAAACAATTGTTGGATTTTTAAAAATAAGTCTCAGTGGCAGAGCAGCAAGGGCTATACTCAGCATAAAGTGGACACTGTTACTGAAGAAAAAGCAAGGAACAAGAGATGGGTAAACAAGAAATAAAAGACGGAGACCAGTTCATTTGTCAGAGCTGACCAATAAAGGCCATCTCTCTATAGGAGAGGGGGCAAAACAGAAAAAAAATTGTTGGTTGGATTATTATTATTTTTGAACTCAGGGACATGACATCCCCAGTTCTACTTTGTATTTTATTTAGAGACAGGGTCTCACTGAGTTACTTATCACCCCACTTTTGCTGACGCTGGCTTTGAACTTGCGATTTTCCTGCCTCAGCCTCCAGAGTTGCTGGGATTACAGGCGTGTGCCACCCACCCAGCAGTTGAATCATTTTTGAACAGGAATAATATCAGTAGAAGAAGTAAAGATATCAGTATTTTTAAAAAAATTTATAGTTATATATAGACAGAATGCCTTTATTTTATTTTATTTTATTTTTTTTTTACGTGGTACTAAGGCTTGAACCCAGTGCCTCACACATGCTAGGAAGCTGCTCTGACACTTAGCCCCAGCACAGGATATTAATATGAAGGATAGTAATCAATCACTTTTTATTTTTTTTTTTTTTGTGGCATTGGGGATTGAACCCAGTGTCTTGGGCATGCGAGGCAAGCACTCTACCAACTGAGCTATATCCCTAATTGTTTACATTTCTATAGAAACCCACAAAAGAATGTCTTGTTTCATTGTGTGAGAACACCAATATGTTATGACTCCTGTCTTCTGGCTTGCTGTAATGTAAATGAACAGAAGCTACTGTCTCTTCTATTTTGCAAATCCAAATTGTTAAGGTCTCAACTACCCTCTCTAACCAAGAAGTTGTAATTCTGCTTAAGCAAAATTAAGGGATTTTACATACCTCATCTGGAGGACACATCTTATCAGATCTTGAGTCATTCATTTTTTGTCCTTTTTTCTTACATATATATTTAAGTTTCTCTTCACATGATTGGACTTTCCAGTAACCTAGCTTTTAAAAACAAAGAGAGAGAGAAATATATTTGCTCGTGAAAGAAATTATTTGCCACACATTTAGAACTGAATCCACAAAGAGAAGGTTTGGTTCTCAGCCTTTTATCTCTCAGCATTGTCTCCTGGTCACAGTGTGGATGAGTTTCATTTTCCTAAAGGCTTGACAATAAAACCACCAAAGGACACTTGGCCTAGAAGTAAAAGTGAGAAGAACTTCTCCACAAACAGTTCCAGCACTCTATTCTTCCTTCCTATGACATGGCTGAAGTCTGTGCAAGGTTCAATTTGCGTGGCACATCAGCTAAGTCCCAGACTCAGTTTCCTCAGATACATGATGATGGTGGTCCAAGAGCTAGTCTTCAAGAATTCTRGAATCAAAAGTTTCTTTCAAGTCTACTTCAGTCTACACTTCAACATTGTCTCTTTCAAGTATGCCACCTAAAATTAATTTTGCCTAATTGAGCAAGTTACTTTGCTTTCTTGAAGTTAGACTTTAACAGATGAGTTGTGCTGAGGACTGGTTTTGAACACCAGAATGCTGTCTAGGTATGCCTTCTGTTCACTTTTGCTAATGCCACCTCACTTCCATTTTTGATACTCTTGTAAAGACATCTTGGATATTCTTTAAAATAGAGTACCAGATGTGACATCTTTCCAAATATATCTTTACTACTAAAACACTTCTGAACAAAGCATTTATTGCTTCCACTTAAGTCTCTCTAGATGGCTGGGTGACACGTCATAATCAATTACACAGTTTTCTGCAGGAAAGTGATATAAACAAAAATGCAGAGGTACRTATATCCTTTCTGAAATCACAGTCTGTTTTAAGTGCTTAACTAAAGTATGTTCAATGAATATTTAGGCAATCCACAGGAGTAAGATGTTTTTATGAATGAGTTTAGTCTTTTTAAAATAAAAATATATTAAAAATTTTTTTTTGAATTTTTACTTAAAATTAAAATATTAAAAAAGTGTTTTTCATGTCATCCTCAAACCAGAATTGATATGAAATTTGACCTGAACACAAAAAGATGGGACTTTTCAGGTTAAATTGTGGCTACCTGCCAAATATGACACTGATGGCAGAAAGGCTGATAGAGACCCTGATCTGGGAGACAGCGGGTTATGAGAGCCACTCTGGCACAGAATCTGAAGTTACACAGAGTCTCTAGATCTGCTTCAGGTCAGAACAGACATTGTCAGAAAGTGGATTGACTGCTTTTATTTACCAAGAAAGATAGTCTATAAACCTCTCACCTTTTATTTTCTTAGCTTAAACACAAATGCCATAATCAAAGGAATCTTAATATTATTATTATTACATATAACAGTAAGACGATAAAGACACCACAGAGGTCTCCTACCTTTCCTAAACAGGAAACACAGTTGGGAGTCTTATTGTAGGGTATGTTTGGCTCATTCTCATTCCAGTATGTTAGAGTGACTTCAGTACCATCTGACCACTGAAACAAAGTTGGTCTATTGATGTTCCTAAGTCCCGTCCATATTTCTTCTTTGGCATCTAAAAACAAACAAAAAAAAATGCTTTGTTTGGCTTTACTAAACTACATTCTTGAATATGTATATTGCTACTGATTTTTATATTCTGATATAAGTTTTAAGAGCCTTTATGGTACTGTTAAATAGCCTATTAAAATTTCAACGAGGCAGGGCTGGAGTTGTGGATCACTGGTAGAGCGGTCGCCTAGCACATGCCCTGGGTTCGATCCTCAGCACCACATAAAAATAAGTAAATAAAATAAAGGTATTGTGTCCAACTATAACTAAACAATTAGATATTTTTTAAAAATTTCAATGAGGCAGGTAGATGGATACAATATCTTTTATTTATTTTTATGTGTTGCTGAGGATTGAACCCAGTGCCTCACAGTGTAAGGCAAGTGCTCTACCACTGAGCTACAACCCAGCCCTACTAGCTACTATTATTAGAGAATCCTAGGCAGAGGGCATGGTAACAGCAGTCTGTTATAGCTGTGTCTACCAAAAAATTAGCTTCCAAAAAATTACAAAAGTAAAATAATCATCACTTAGATTTTTGGAGGGAATGAAATAGAATTTAGCTTATGAGAAGAGACAGATTATTCAATCAACCTTTTACTGCCAAATTAGTAGCCCCTAGGGCATATGTGACTATATAAACCAAAATGTAATAAAATTAAATAAAAAGAATAATTCAGTTCCTCAGTTTCCCTAGCTACATTTCAAGCGCTCAAAAGCCATGTTGGCTGGTAGCTAGTGTATTGGACAGTGCAGACTACAACACAGATCCATCCAACAGAAAAGCCTGTGGACAGGGTCGTTGTAAGATTTCATTTTCACCAAAAGTCTGAAAGCAGGGATATTTTATAATGTTTAAGCCTCTAAAATAGGGTATTAAAAAAAAAAACAACTTACTCCTATTATGGAATTTTGTGACAACCACTTCCACATCTGCTAAAGAATGAATGCTGATTAGGTCACTACTGAAGGCATTGCATTTCTTATGTGCCTCATCCCAGGAACCAGTTTCATTTACCAGCAGATAGCAAAATCCATTATTTGGCAGCCAGCCTTCTTCACAGCGGGTATGTGAATATGTCCAAACATCTGGGAGAAAAGCAGCAATTTATATTCCAGGAAAGCTATATCTATTTTGAATCAACAACATTACAAAATTTTCTGTTTTGAATCATGAGGCTTCTGGAAAATTGGGCAATGTGATGACAGATCCTTGAGTAATATGAATTTATGTTGTACCTAATATATACCTAGTGTCATAAGAATTCCTGCAGGGATTCAGATAATGAATCATTATTACCATTACATGATGTGACTGTAATGTGACAGAAATATGCTGTGTGGCTGGGGATAGATTATTTAAGGGTATAGACACAATCAAGGGAGATATTGCMCTTAGTCCTAAAAGATAGAAGAAAGATGTAGGTTAAGCCAGTTGCTTGAATCTTTTTCTGGTTCTGGGATTTGTTAGGTTCCCTTCCAGTCTCTGCTGTTGTAAAGATTAGTATGAGCTCAAGCCTTCTTTTCTTGTATGGCCAGCTTAGTAAGGGAATATGCATTAAAGCTCACTTTTGACCAAAGGACAGGCAGAGATTTCAGGAACAGAATGAGACATGTGCTCACTTCACACCCAAGAGACAGTAGCAATGGAAAGAAAGAGCAAATGACATCTCTGGACCTCTTCTTTCCTCCCTCTGCTAGACCAATGGTCCTTATAGAACGGGATTCTTTGTTTTGCCCGTGCTAAAACTCACAAGTAAAGGTCTAGTCTTTCTGGACAAAAAGAGTCAGGTATAAAGCCATACAAAATACTTCTATCCTTGTTAACAAAACTAGAAAGTAGCTGGTTACTCAGACTTCACCTTCCACTTGGAAGGTTTATTGCAAGAAAACACAGCATCTTAAGAGGTTTGTTTTTTACTAAAGGATAAAAATTCAGGTTTAACTAGCCTCTCATAATTATAAGATAACTCAATTAACTTTAAGGTTCTGAATAGCGTTCATTTATTACTACTGTGTTTTACAGTTACTATAAAAGAACAGATGGAAAAATCACACATAATTGAACTTAAAACAATCATTTTCATATTCTAGTCTTTGTCTCTATGAATACATATTTTTACAAGATTAAAAATGATAAGTAGGCATATCATTTTGTTCTGCTTTTTCTATTTCCTGCTGGCACAGTTATAATGAATGCATATTATTCAATCATGTGAAAACATCATGATTTACTTAATAATTGCTACTTTGAGATATTTACTTAATCTAACATCAGTTGCTCTAGCTTATTTTCATTTGTGCTGGCTTCTCTATTATGCTTTTTGTTGTATGGATTATATTTGGCTTATATTAACTCGGAAGATAAATATTCATTCCCCTTATTATCTTAAAACATTTCCCTATATTCTTTATTTCTTTTTTGGTACTGGGGGTTGAACTCAGGGGCACTCTACCACTGAGACATATTCCCAGCCCTATTTTGTATTTTATTTAGAGAACAGGGTCTCACTGAGTTGCTCAGCACCTTGCCATTGCTGAGTCTGGCTTTAAACTCAAGATTCTCCTGTCTCAGTCTCCTGAGCCTCTGGGATTACAGGTTTGCTTGCCACCACACCCAGCTGGAATATTCTTGATAGGAAGTGTATTTTTTCCCCTAAAAAAAAAATAGCTCAATGCTCCTTTTTGGATGACAAGAAATTTGATTGTTTTTTTCCCTTCCCACATAATTCCTTAAAGTAGGAYATTTAAAAATTCCCTTTCCCCCTCCCAGTTTTGAATCTGAGTTTTTCTCATTCAGTGAAGAATTAATCAAATTTCAGGTATATGCTGGTACTCTTCTTTATTCTTGTAAATACTCCTCAAACCTCCATTCCTCAAAAACTTCAGCTGGTCTCCTCTTTCCTCACACTTCCCTGAACAATTCCCTCATTGTAGATACTTTGTCCTGCACTTCTCATTTTACTGGGTTCTTTCAATTCAAAGACCTAAAGAACCAGCCTGGCATAGAAGGATAGAGGAGGTCTGGGTGTTGTGGGGCAGGGGCTGGGAGAGCCTGGGRGTATCCTGTGTCCACAGGTCTTGATTTTTCACAGAGGCATGCAATATATAAGGCCTGTCCTCATAGCAGTGGCTCTCAGACTTGAGCATGCAGGGTCACCTGGAGGGCTTCTTAAAACACAGATTCCTAGGGGCTGGGGTTATGGCTCAGTGGTAGAGTGCTTGCCTAGCATGGGTGAGGGCCAGGGTTCGATCCTCAGCACCACATAAAGATAAATAAATAAAGATATTGTGTCCAACTAAAACTAAACAATATTTAAAAACAAAACAAAAACATAGATTCCTAGACCCCATGCCTATAGTTTCTGATTCAGTAAATCTGGGTAAGCCCTGGCAATCTGTATTTCTAATGGACAGGTGATGCCATTGTGCTTGGTCTGGGCACCACATTTGAGAACTAYTGCTCTAGAGGAACAAGAGTGATCCGTGAGCAGAAATACATTTCCTATCAAGAATATCCCAGCTGGGTGTGGTGGCAAGCAAACCTGTAATCCCAGAGGCTCAGGAGATTGAGACAGGAGAATCTTGAGTTTAAAGCCAGACTCAGCAATGGCAAGGTGCTGAGCAACTCAGTGAGACCCTGTTCTCTAAATAAAATACAAAATAGGGCTGGGAATATGTCTCAGTGGYAGAGTGCCCCTGAGTTCAATCCCCAGTATCAAAAAAGAAAAATAAATACCTCTGCCATCTAATGGGAATATACATATTTTTACTTGATATTCTTCATCGCCTCAACTACAGATTTTTTCATATGCAATTGGTAATATCTAATGATAGGGTCAAAAATTAAATACTTTCTTATATTGGCAGTATCAGATGAAGGGAAGGTGGAGATGAGTATCTGAGATGGATTTCACTTGACCTCACAAAATTGCAGCTTTAAGATTTATTTGTAAGAGCAACTGAGGAAGATACCTGTTAACTCCACAGTATTATTTAATGGTTTCTTGCAGACGTATGATAGTTGAGCTTCACAGGAAATACTCTGCCACAGACCAGATTCGGCATCCATTCCGGCACAGCTTGATCCACCTATTATTTGTGCCTTTGGCATATCTTAAAAAGTAGGAGTTTCAAAGAGTTAGAAACAAGGTTAGAATCAGGGTGGTGGTTAGAAAAAATATTTCACATTACATTTTCTGCCTTTATGAGAACTCATCATTTAGTTAAAATTTTAATTAAATTGAATTGTATAAAATGGATATTAATGTATACAACTTTTCTTTCTTTTAAAATACAAGTGGGGGGTGGATATTCTAACATATTATAGCTAATTTAAAACACAAAAATAAAAACCAAACTTGTCCCTAAGAATAAAAATTTTTGCCATATATCTTGTGGCTGGTAATCTCTAATAAATGTTTATTGCTGATCTATATTTATTATATAATGAAAATATTAATCTATGATTTTGTAATGCCTTTAAGACCTTAAATTAAMAATTTAAAAAAATAAATTAAGGATTGGGTGTAACTCAATGATAGAATGCTTGCCGAGCATATGCAAGACCCTAGTTTGATTATTAGTGCCACCACCATAAAAAAAAAATATATATATATATATATATATATATATATATATATATAATTTAAAAAGATTAAATTATACTTAAAGATTCTATTTACTGAGACAATAGGTTGTTAATTCATTAGAAATGAGAAAATTTAGTTAACTAAAGTTGACACTTAAGTACTTAACCCATTTTCCTTATATATGAACAGAATATTTTGTACTGAAATTAATGTTAACTTTTAGGTTTTTCACTTGTCATATTTTATTTTTAAAAAGGTACCTCATTCTTCCTTTTGGGGAAAAAGATTTTTTTTGGCTAAACAGGGTTTTAATCATTATAAAATTTTCCTTRTGTTATTTATTTGTGTAATAAAATATAGCCATTATGCTATTAGTACTTGGGTGCCAGAATGGGGAGACCCCAAGGATTTGAAATATAAGGAAATATTTCTACATTAGAGTTAAGTTGTAGATGGACATAACATGGGCAAGTCATGGACATGTCAAGACCCCTAAGGGATCCAGAATGGTTCCTGGCCAAGTGGTGTGCTCATTCTACTCTGGTTTAGGGAAAAAAAATTCTGAGAAGTAATCACAAGATTTATCAGTCCTTGAAACTTTTAAAAGATCTCAGAGAGTGAGAAGCCCTTGTTTTCTGAAGCTTTTGCTCTGTTTGCAAAATGGGTGGGGGAAGAACAATTACCTGAGTCCCAGTTGAGAAAGCTTAATGGCTTGTGATYTGACCATTCCCAGCCTCTAGCTGAGTACAGCTGATTTAATCCAATCCAGAACACTCTAGCAATGCCTTCTTGTCCTGTAAAAATTATATAATTTTAAAAAGTGACAAAATTATCTGGGTTATTATTCTCCAACTCAGATTAGATTTCAATAAATAGCAAACCTCCTGAAGGCCTTGATTGTATCAGTAATCCAGGTAGGAGAATGTCTAGGCAACAAAGATGAGTGATGTTGATAGACAACAGAGCCTCAGACCSTGGAAAAGGTCAAGGGCTGGTAAGTTCCTCAATTCTGCTTCCTGTTATCTTGTCCAACACCCTTTCTTCTAAGGTAAAAACAGACTCTTAGAGTAGCTGTTTCACAGTCTATTTTTAACTCTCTTGTACTGATTTAGAATACTTATCAAAGGCAGTTTTTCATGTATATCTAGGTTTTGAAGATCTGATTTCATTCTAGATTGATAGTGTGATTCAGTAAGTACATATTATTTTCCAGCTATTATTGCCCTTATAAAAATTTTAATCTAAAAGAAGGAAACATACAGATCCTCTACATGGTGAACCATTTTGGAGTGGGTCAGAAATACGTATAGGAGGTATTTCACAGGGTATCGAGTATATGGCTCTGGAGTCCAAGAGAACATTTAGGCTAGAGAAACAGAAGAGTCACACACACACACACACACACACACACACACACACACACACCCATGTGTGCACAAGAGTGGACATACATTATTCATATTTATTATTTGACAACCAGATCACATACACATAAGCATATGCAAGGGCTGCCCACACTGGCATGCAAAGACTGTGAAGATTTAATCTAATATAAAATTTTCCCTATTAATAAACGCAATGGATTTTCCAACATTCCTCGGAGGTTCTGGAAACTGACATATTTCTGGTACTCCACACTGAATCACAACCCTGGTATTCTGAATTCCTTTCATTGGTTTCCACTGGGGACAGTATGGAGGACAAATCCTTCCTATTCATCCCAAATTCAATTCCATGCCTTCCACAAAGTCTGTTCCAATATCCTCCAGCAGGAAGCAGTTGCTCCCTCTGAACACGCCTCTCACTTATCTGCATATGGCAAGTACACATTTACATCATGGGATTTTGTGACACAGATGTGCTCCTGATCTGCTTCAATATAGTGTACTCTTGGTGATTTGTACTGATGACTTCACTGGAATCAGGATTTTTAAAAATGTGATAGTGTTGGCAAACACAAATGTTTTTAAGGTGTCTATTGCTCTATGCATGACAATGAGAAATGGATAAATTCTAAAAGTACTGGTAGGGTAATTATAAAGAATAGAGATTTATTATATGGCTTGGACAATCTGGAGCTAGAGTTTTTATTCCACACACAGTCCAGATAAGACATTGATCAACTTGAGACTGTACCTACCCCGACCTTTGCCATTAAAAGACAGATTGCTAGCATAAAATCCCATACCTAAATCAAATGGGTGTCCACTAAAGTAGGTATTTTTTTCTCTTTTTTTTAATATTTATTTTTTAGTTGTAGATGGACACAATACCTTTATTTTATTTATTTTTTTATGTGGCACTGAGAATTGAACCCAGGGCCTCGCACGTGCTAGGTGAGTGCTCTACTGCTGAGCCACAACCCCAGACCTTTAATTTGTTTTTAATTGACATATACTAATTGTACATATTGTGTATGTGTGTGTGTGTGTTACCGGAATTGAACCTGGGGCAATCTACCACTGAGCTACATTCTCCAGCCTTTTTATTTATTCATATATTTATTTTATTTTTGAGACAGGGTCTACTTAATTTGCTGAGGTTGGCCTCAAACTTGCAAGCTTCAGCCTCTCAAGTCACTGCAATTTCAGGTGTGTGCCACCATGCCAGGCTCAATGTGATATTTTGATGCACGTATGTATCATGTAAATATACCATCAGGGTAGTTAGCATAATCATAACCTTAAACATTTATCTTTTCCTGTGATAAGAACATTCCAAATCCTCTCTACCTATTATTTATTTATTTATTTATTTTTAGTTGTAGACGGACATAATACCTTTATTTTGTTTGTTTTCTATTTTTATATGGTGCTGGGGATTGAACCCAGTGTCTCATGCATGCTAGACAAGCGCTTGAGGAGAAGGCTGAAAGGCTTTGGAGTTATCTGAGCCACAACCCCAGACCCCTCTACCTAGTTGGATATATTCAATACACAGTTGTCAACTTCAGTCACCCTACTGTGCAACAGAACACCAGAACTTATCTCTCTTAACTGTAACTTTGAACCCATTGATCAATCTTTCCATCCCCCATCTCCCTACCTCCCAACTGCTCTCTTTAGCCTTTGGTAATCACTATTCTACTCTTTATTTCTATGAGAGACTCTTTTAGAATGCACATATGAGTGAGAGCATGTGGTATTTGGCTTTCTGTGGCTGACTTACTGCACTTAACAAAATGTCCTATAGGCTCATCCACAGTGTCACAAATGACAGAACTCCATCCTTTTGGTGACTGAATAGTATTTCATTGTGTATATGTAACACATTTCCTTTATCCATTTCATCCACTGATAGACATGTAGGTTGATTCCATGTCTTGGCCACTGTGAACAGTGCTGTGATCAGCACAGGGGAGCAGATCTCTCTGTGACATACTGATATCATTTCCTTTGGCTATCTAMTCAGCAGTGGGATTGCTAGAGAGTTCTATTTTTTAATATTTTCAGGTACCTCCATGCCTTTTACCATAATGACTATGCTAATTTACATCCTTAAGAGTGTATTCTCCTTTCTCTACATCCTCACCAGCATTTGTCCTTCTTTGTCTTTTTGATAATAGCCATTGTAACAGATATGAGGTCATATCTCACTGTGGTTTTGATTTGCATTTCCCTAATGGCTAGTGATGTTGAGCATTTATATATGTCTTTTGGCTATCTGTATGTCATTTGTGGATGACTATTTTGCTTTTTTTTTTTTTTCGGTGACAGGGTGTTGCTAAGCTGCTTAGGACTTTGCTAAGTTGTGGAGGCTAGTTTTGAACTCATGACTCTCTGCCTCAGCCTCCCAAATTGCTGAGATTACAGGCATGCACTACCATGCTTGGCTCTATTTAGGTCTTTAGCCCATTTTTTTTTCTTCATTCCAGGGATTAAAACCAGGGGCATTTAACCAGTGAGCCACATCCCAGGCATTTAAAATTTCTTATTTTAAGACAGGGTCTCGCTAAGTTGCTTAGGACCTCACTAAGTTGCTGAGGCTGGCAGTGAACTTATGATCCTCCTGCCTCAGTCTCCTGAGCCGCTGGGATTGTAAGCATGTGCCACTGTACCTGTCCTTTACCCCATTTTAATCAACTATTGGGTTTTTTGTTTGTTTTGGCTATTGAGTTGTTTAAACTCCTTAAAAGTTATGGATACTAACCCTTTCTGAGATATATAGTTTGCAAATAGGTGGGAGGCCACCTCTGAGCTATTAGCATAGCCTCTACTCAGCCTTGAAGCCAAGGAGATTTTGGTCTGGCATTGCAAGTCATTTTGTGGCTTATTACCCAAAGCACTGTGACCTCAGTCTTCACTAGGCTATAGAGGCTGCTCTRTAGCTCCGGAGTTGGGTGTTACCCATTGGACTTGGACAGCCCACCCCCTGCCTTATTTGGTGAAGAATATTCTATAGAAAAGCCTTTGTATATCCCTCATATCAAAATAAAAAACACAGACTCACTCTCTCTCCTTCCAGTGTGGAAGCAGGACAACTTAAGGTCGCAGAGMTGTCCTGCCTTTGATCTCTCAAAATTATTTCTGAGTCATGTGATTTTTTGCAATATTTTGCAGCCAACTCACTACATGCAGGAGAACACAGTTTATCTTGCCTGTGCAAGATGCAGGCGAGAAAAATTTTTTCTCTCAATCTGTACATTATGAGGTGGTTATTTCTTAACTGTTCCAAAGACCCCTATTCAGACCTGAGTACACTTCTATTCCTTTACCCACAATGAGAGACTGGCCTGATAATAGTCATGTGTCTGAAAAGAGCCAAAAAAMCTCTTATAATGCATCAGAAAAGCTACAACCAGCAGGGGCCCTAATCTAGAAGTGTCCTAGCATTGGGGCACTGGTCAAAGTGGTGTAAGGTGAATAACCCCTGGGGTAGAGGCAAATTAGGAAGAATGGAAGTGTGCTGTTCCTGCTCTGGGGATTCTTGGGTTCTCTTATGTAGTAGCATAAGTAAGTTGGTTACAGGTCCTGGCAAGGCCAGAGATATGGAAAATCTGAATCCCAGCAAAATCTGATGAGCACAAAGAAACCAAATATATTATCCCTGGAGAATGTGTATTCATAAAATAAAATCAAAACAAAATTAAGTCTAAAAGAAAAGTTTTTTAGACTGCATGAGACTTAACTTCAATGGGGGTGCTTCTGCATTTTTTTCTGGCAGTTGATTGYCTAGTCTCACCCCACCATTATCTACCAAAGTCAAAAGTTGTTTGGGAACAACATACTCCATTATATATGCTCTGCATAGCAACAACTCTTATCTCCCCAAGTAGATCAAGCACTTTGGTTACGGAATCTCTGATTCACATTTGTTGGCCTCATTACTTCTAGTTCAAACGACTGTGTGCAATAAAGGGATTCTTTTTTTAAGCTTATTTTTTATCAGTGTATTAAAATTACACATATTAGTGGGATTCATTAGGCCATATTCCTACAAGCACATTACATAATTTGATCAATCTCATTCTCCAGAACCTTTCCTTTTCCTCCCTTCTTCCCTATAAAGGGATTCTATTTTTTTTAATATTTACTTTTTTTTTAAGTTGTTGTTGGACACCAATACCTTTATTTTATTTGTTTATTTTTATGTGGTGCTGAGGATTGAACTCAGGCCCTCGCATGTGCTGGTGAGCACTCTACCACTGAGCCAAAACCCCAGCCCTAAAGGGATTCTTAATAGAAACTACTTTGGATGCTTGAGTTTTAGATGTTAAAGTCCAGCTTTCTCCAGGGTCTTGGGGAATTATAATTAGTCCTATTGATATGCTATTTAGTTCTCATGCTAGAAGAGGAGCTTGGAACATTAGAAACAGATATACTTATAAATTTACTGATATCCATAAACTACGGGGAGTAACTGCTGGGTTGGGGGACATTAAGGTTCTTCACAGAACTTACTGCACTTCTGTGCAAGTTAGCAAAGAAACGTGATGCATAAAGACTCAACACAACATTCCTTGTTCCAACTGCATCATCAGACGTTTGGTAGGATGGTGAGAGTCACTCTTTATACTTTCTTCCTTCACTGAAGTCATTACTTTCCCAAAGTCAATATTCTAGGAGGCTTAACTTTAGTGGCCCTTTTGATTCTCCATGATATTTTTTGTAAGGCTTTAGTGAAGTCTGTAATAGAATTCCACTGCCAAACACTGACCGATTAGGCTTATTTGACAGATTTTTATTCTAAAGTTCTGATTATTCAACTCCCAGACAATAAAAGAAAAGGATAAAGTTCTAAGTAAGAAAGGAGGTCTGGATAAAGCTTTAGGCAAAAAGCATGAAAAAAGACTAGTGGACTTTCAATGATAAAAATATATATATATATATATATATATATATATATATATATATATATATATATAATGTAAGTATTATAGTAAAAAACTAAGGGCTCTGTGGTTCCGTATGTTGACCTTCAAATCCTAATTCTCGTATTTCTTAGCTATGTGATATTGGGTATGTTTTTTCTAAATATCAATTTCCTGATCTGGTGATAAAGATACTTGCTGGGGTGTACTGATAATTAACTTCTTTGGAGACCAGCCTGGTTCATTGCTAGCATTTATTCAAATATTTATATTCATTATAACACAGGGACAGGATTCACCTGAAATACTTAGTAAATAGATATTTGTTTACTATATGCCAGTAAGGCTTATAGTTTTGTGCCAAAGTAAAACAATAACCTACCTCTGCTTACAAAGAACTTACAGTCTTCTAAAAGGTGAACACCTAATACAATTTGTTTTCAAGTCAGACTATTCAAATTTAGGTTGTGCTATGTATTTGTAAGTGACATTGAACAAAATACACTTCCTTTATGATCCTCACATTCCTCATCTGCAAAATGAGCATAGTAACAATACTAGCCTCTTAGGGCTCCTATACAGCATTAAATGAGATAATGTCTGAAAACAATTTAGTAATATGTGCTAGAACATTGTTATCATATGTTATCACTATTTTTTCATTCAGAGAATAAATTATTAAGACTGAGAAACTTAAATTTCTTCTGATTTAAAAAATAATGTAAAAATTTCTGTTTATTAGCTTTTTTTTTTTCAAGAGTATGATGGGAAAATTTACAGAATCTTACTGGGTACATAAAAGAAGACCTAAAGAGAAAAGAAATGCCATTTTTATAAATGAGAAGACTTCATGTAGAGATAGACTAATCCTAATTAATCTGATTCAACACAATTCCAATGAAAATCTTCATAGGGTTTTCACTGAAATTAACAAGGTGTTCCTGAAATTCATATGAAAGAATAAATGATCTCTTTTAGTTTTCTGTTCTTACCTATATAATTTAAATTTTCATAATTAAAAATTTAAAAATTACCACTACCATCCTATAAACAAAACAAAATTCTATCCATTCTATACATCTGTGTTATATCCACTTTAAGATTTCTTAAAACTCTCTTTGTTTCTCCTCGAGGACTGTATTTCTCCACTTGAATGTGAGGATTTTTTACTGAGGCCAGATATAGTAAGATCCAACCATCTGCTTACCTTCCTTGAATTTTCTACTTTTCAGTGTTCAAAGAGCTTATTGTTCACTTTTTCAAATAAAAAAAAGGTTAGGTTAAGGTAGCAGTTTAATCTTCTACCCTGTGTTCTAAGCATCAATCTCTCTTTAGTCTCCATCTCAACATGCATTCTCAATACATGGAATATGTTAACATTCAGTAGTTTGGCAACTTCAGTGTTGAAGTTTAAATCCCAAAAGAAGACAGAAAAGATACACACAAAACAACACACCTGGATATGAAAGTARAAGGAGGAAGTGTCTTCACAATTTCAACAATTTTTCTCTGCGACATGCAAGTCAAACCTACCTTGGAGGTAAGTTAATTCAGCTGCACTGCTGATGCTCAGTAAGTCAGCTCCTTGACTCTGACACGAAATGTAAGATTCTTTCCAAGAAAGAGTTGCCTGATTATTAAACTGGTAGCAACTTCCAATCTGCTCATTCTTTTGCCAATTACCTTCACAGCCATTTTCTGTTAATAAAAGATTACTTAGTGATTATAAAGTAAAGGCATAACATTTTCTATTCCTTGGACTGCTTACAATACTGCAATTCAATTTGCTTACTCTTAGGATGTGCCAAAGTGGAGACTGCCATTGCTTGTTTAGACCATATTTTGATTTTTTGGTATAATGAAATTGAAGTCAGAGGACAGCAAATATTCAGGTTGATGAAAGCTGCCACTGTCCCTTTGTCCCCTATCAGTTACAATTCCATGTTTTCACCTGTGCTCCTGCTTGTCCTGTGCTTGAAGGTGGGAGTCTCAACGTGTACAGGTGTGGAATGCTCAGCTAAGGGAAAACAAGCTCACTGGAACATGGTGGGAGATGGTAGAGGGTTTGCTTACGACCTATAGAGAAACCACTGAGTGTTCAAGTGTATACACAGACATGCTGTTTAAATGGCTAAGATATGGAACACAGTCCATAAATATGGACTCTTATTTTGGAAACTGAGTCCAAGATTGTTCTTAATATTTTAGCAGATGGTTGAATATATGATATAATTAATATTATGTGATTCACTATATATGAAATAATTAATATTATGTAATTTGTTATATATGAAATATTTAATATCATATAATTCACTTTATATATGCACCTTTATATTACATACATAGGTATAGAAATACGTATGTGCTTTTTTAAATATGCATCATATATTCTTTAGTAAATATATAAAGTAGGGGCTTGGGCTGTAGCTCAGTGGTAAAGTGCTTGCCTAGCATGTGTGAGGCATTGGGTTCGATCCTCAGCACCACATAAAAATAAATAAAGATACTGTGTGTTCATCTACAAATAAATAAATATTTTTAAAAATATATAAAGTAATGTATATTTTCAGACAAAGAAACTTCAAGCTGTTTCCTGGATGAATATATAGGTGTTGAGACAACTTAGAGTCTCTCATGTGCTCCCAACAAGAGGGGAAAAAACAGTGTAGGCTGTGTGATGTGTATCCCAGGCTCCACTTGGGGGGCTTTCCAAAGGGCTTCCCATATTATACATCAGATGGCAGCCTCGTGCACCTATGTGCTGAAAAGCCCCTTGAGATCCTCTTGTTGATGCCCTCATTTCAGAGGGGAACAAAGACCTACAGATGTTTGTGGCAGAGCTACAATCAAAGCACCAATCCCTTTTGTTGCTCTTTGAATGGCACACTTTGCCTCCTCAGACACTTTCCTATGACCTCCACAGCAACAAAGGTTGTGACATTTGGTGAAAACAAAATAGGAAAAATTTGTAAGAACATTGTCTAAAGGTTCATTATTGCCACTGAAGCCCTCTGATTGTAAATCCAGAATCTGCTGCCAGTGGGATGGCAGTGTGTTTGCCGTGCAATACCACCCCTGTGGTTTAGCAATCCTTGGGGTTAAGAAAACTCACAGTATTACTTCTTTCATAAAAAGTAGCTCTGGGAGGCATATAAATTCAATAACAACCCCTCCCACCCCTGGGACCCATCAGTCTATGGCACTGAGACACATCCCAGGCAAGGCATCAAATAGAGTGGGGTGTATATGTTGGAGAATGAGGATTAGGAATTCAGGATTAGGAATCCTGAATTCTCCACCACATGAATGTGGTCTGACCCTGACAGGCCCTTCCTTCAGCCTGGGCTTGCTGCCTCTCACCTGAGAAACAGGGGTTTGCACTAGATAACCTCTAAGCTACCTTTAACATCTGAAATTCCTTCCCCAAACTACAGTGAGAACTAAATAAAATAGTTACATGGTTGGCCACACTCTGCTTGTTATCAATTACAACTGGAGCAAATATTGGATTTTTATGTTTCAGTATATTCTTGGTGTTGAAACACCTGGGCCTTGACCTAAGTAAGTAATTCTCACAGAGTGGTTCACAGGTCAAATCATCAGCATTAACTGGGAACTTGGAAACTATGCTCCCCTGCTCTGGTATCTTTCACTTTATAAGCTGTCTTGGCTCTCTTCTTGACCTGCTTCCGAAAGTAAATTCAAAGCTACATTTTACTACTCTTTTTTCTTACAAATATAGGATAATATTTGTTGCACTTTTGAGTCATCTTGACATCTTGCTTCTCCTTTTTACCTCATATAAAAGGTACTCTTCTTTCCATTCATGAAGTTCACCAGCCCACACATACCTGGTATTAAGCAGATGCCCCACTTTTGGTCATAGTTATAATGTAAAGTGGTGGCACACCATGGTCCATTGTGGTCATCATCAAGAATGCAGTCATGATGCCATGTCCCATCAATTAGGAATGGAAATTCACAAGGTCTTCCATAGGAATTCCCATCTCTGGTATATACCTCTGTGGGTTGGGGAGGAAGTTGAGGAAAGGAGAATTGAAAACTGGATAATCACTTTCGGTTAGCTAATACCTACAATTGTTTCTAAAGAAATGGCTGTTTTCATTTATGGGAATACAATATCTGAATGGGGTGCACAGAGAAGAAAGAGCATGATGCTGACTGTTCACGTTTGGGCTTGAAGACTGGGGTCCCCTCTATGACTGTGGGCAAGCTTRGTTTCTGCATTTACAAATGCAGAATTTGGTAAAATAATCTGTGTAAGGATTCTTTTGTGTGACAAAGCACTAAAAGATCCTGGCTTAAGGGTCACTCTACTATGGGTGGCAGAGTACTTTATCAAAAGTGTACCATGACTGAGATACAATTCACCTCTTTTTTTTTTTTTTTTTTACTTAAGTGTAAATATCTTAGCAGAAAAATATCTTAACATCATGGAGGGTGTGTATGGACTTTCGAACTACTTATGAAGTTAGATGGACAAACAGCCCACTGCTTGATAGAATTGAGGCTGCAGTTCTCAGGAAATAAAGGAAGAACGGCTAGGTTCCTGAGTAGATTCTTGGGGAAGAGCAAGGCACAGTAACTTATGTTAAAAAAGAAAGAAGAACTGGCTTTAATAGGGAAGTCATGAGACCAACTGGTGGCCAACAAGGTAGCAGATCTAGCTTAATATTTTAATAATTTTTCCCTAATACTCAGAGAAGTACTGAAAAAATGATTTCAACCACAAATATGCCTGGAAATGCTACAGGAAGTGCTTAATGCTTAGGTCAATAATATTTCTCTTGAAAAAGTATTTCTATAGGACACCTAACCCTGTATCTATTTCTGTTACCTTTTTCTATATTCTCAATTTGTTTAAAACCCTGGTCATTAACAGATCGAATAAAGACTATTAAATAAAGCATAATCATCAAATCTCAAGCTATTAGGGTCCCTTGAAATGTCTCACAGATTTGCTTAAAAGTGTGCTTAAGATGGTATTTGATTCTACATCCCTTATCATCCTCAAGTGTTCTATCATTCTCAAGTGTTCATCTGACTAAAGTGTGAAACTTTTTAAATTTGGAATGTATTAAGCAGCACTTTTCTTTGCAAAAAWAAAATCTTTTAAGGATCATTGTTTTGTTTTCCTATGTCATATAAATGGCTTTGAATTGGTTCCTTCTGTTAAAGAGTATGTTGACCTTATGTTTTATAAGGATTCTGCTTATTATATGGTTTGTTTCTGACCACACCAAAAACTCCCAGGATTGCATGACTCGTTTCCCTTTCTAWTATAATACCCAGAGTACAGTTCCCCAACACCATGACTATGACTTGTAGGAGCATATGGGTTTTTTTTTCTCTAAAACCTTTATATCTGTCATACAAAGTTCTTTCATATACATTTAAATAAAGATCATTTCTTTAAATGCTCTTTACCATAAGCCCGAGAGATCAGTATGTAATACTATGCTTGTTTGTGAAATCCCCATTTTTGTGGAATAGTTAAGTAAAATGTCCAATCACTCAGCTGTGAGCAATGGGCATGAGACTGGGCTCTCTGATGAGAGAGACATACAAGCAAAACTTGATACCAATGGTTGTCCTCTCAGGTTTCAAGTCACATAGTATAGCTCAAAGCTGAGCTTCATTAAAAAGCTCCAAGTCAYGGGCTGGGATTGTGGCTCARCGGTAGAAATAAAGAAAGAAAATAAAGGTATTATGTTTATATACAACTAAAAAAGAAATTTAAAAAGGGCTCYCAGTCACTAAATGCTTTGGAGAAGCAAACCACCACCACCGAGGCAGTTAAAGGATGCTCACTGAGAGTTTGATTTCCACACGTTTTGCTATGGCGGGAACTCTTGAATCCATGGGGTTTCTTAGCAAGACAGGCTTTCCTGAGAAGAGTCTTCTCTGAATGTGTGACTTTAGGGTGATAGCATCCTTAAGACAATAGCTTATTGTTTAAGAGTCACAAATTTCTAAGATGAGGTGTTTACATGGAAAACAAATTTCTTCAGTAATGTAAGATAAAATAGCTTCAGTGGTTAAAGAGGTTGGCAGGCTTCTGACAGTTGCTCAAAAGCTCAGATAGTTCACACAGTTCTACAGCTAATTCTCCACCAAAAGTCCATTCTTTGGAATGATTCACCAAACATGATCAGGTCAAGATAGCTTGTGATGTAAATTCATATCTAAGTGCTAGTCAAAAGCAGTTTACTCAAAAATTTTATACCACTAAAACTTCCTCTGATATGAACATAACTCAAASAGGATAGGGGTTGAAGGAAGAGGCAACCTAAGACACATTATAAATAATCTTAATATATTAGAAGCAAAATCTTTTTAGACTGCAAAAGCTAAGGGAGAAATAAACACACTATATTTGGGAAATGGAATCCTGTTTTGCTTTTGGTATTGGGGATTGAACCCAGAGGCACTTCACCATTGAGCTAYACTCCCCAGCCCCCTTTTAAAATGGTTTTTATTTTGAGACAGGGTCTCACTAAGTTGCTTAGGGCTAAGTTGCTGAGGATGGCCTTGAACTTGTGATTCTCCTGTCTAGGCCTCCAGAGTCACTAGGGTTACAGCTGATAATTGCTTTAAGTTTAAGTAACCACTTTTAAGTTTAGGAGGAATCTGGCTAGCAGAAACAGATTTGTTCAACTACTCAAAGGCTGGGGATTGAAGTGAAGGAAAACCCCAATCTCTAAGTCTGTATTATTTCTCCATTAATAGTGGAACCAGACATTCTCAGAATATCTAGATCCTCACCAGAAAATAGAAAGAAGTTCCTTAGCTWGAAAGAGGGGAACTCAGCTGCTATCCTGAGTCTGTGGCCAAATTTAATTTAAAAGAGCTTTAGAGAAGGGGAAAACCTCTGCAAAGCTATGTAAGTTTTTTTTTTTAAAAGGACAAGAGACTTTTTTTTTTTTTTTTTTAAAGTGGCACATGCCTGTAATCCTAGTGGCTGGGGGAGGCGGAGACAGAAGGATTTCAAGTTCAAAGCCAGCCTCAGCAAAACCCTGTCTCTAAATAAAATATAAAAAAGGGGTGGCTTGAGCAACTGTCAGAAGCCTGCCAACCTCTTTAACCACTGAAGCTATTTTATCTTACATTACTGAAGAAATTTGTTTTCCATGTAAACACCTCATCTTACAAATTTGTGACTCTTAACCCTTGGGTTCAATTCCTGGTACCAAAATAATCATAATCATAATCGAAATTAAAAAGTAGGACAAGAGTAACACATTATTTATATATGTACATCAACATTCAATTAATTTACAGCAACATGATAAAAAAAAGATTTGCTTGGGTGATAGCTCGTCACATTTAGTAGTTTAAAAAATACATCCACTTATTTTTTCTAAACTTAGAAATTCATTTTGAGACTCAGAGCAAAGACTATAGCAATATTCATATACTTATTTTTGGAAGCAACCAAGAAAAAGTTTACTCTTAAAATGTTGAATCATAGGGGTTGGGGTTGTGGCTCAGTGGTAGAGTGCTTGCCTAGCATGTGTGAAGCACTGGGTTTGATTCTCAACACAACATCTAAATAAGTAAATAAAACAAAGATCCATCAACAACTAATAAAAATATTTTTTAAAAAAGTTTAATCATAAATAAAAACATCAACACGACAGCCATGCCAAAAATGAAAATGAAAAACACACATGAGACTTTAAAAAATTCCCACTGTCTCAAAACCTGTAGACAAGGAAAAATACACTTCTTTTTCTTTTTTCATTTATAATATCAACATTATTAAATTTTTATCAGCAGGAAGAGTTTCCTATTAATCTAACATTTCCTTTCTCCTAGAGTTCAGCATGTCATCATAGGAGTCAGGCATCACATAGATTTCATATCCCAGGCTCATTACAATATGGCTATGTGACCTCTGAAAAGGCACTTGACCTCTCCTAGCCTTGCCCATAAAGGGGWAGGGGTGGGTCAGATACCACCGACCTCACACGTATGTGGTAAAAATGAAACTCACAGTGCCTGGACCCAAATAGCTTGCTCACTGCCCTTACCAGCATATGACTTCATTTTTATTTGACCGTGCATATTCAGTGTCACAGTTAATAARCACAACAGCAAATGGCTCCAAGTCCCTCTCCAGTACTCACCATGGTAAGGCTGGTCACAAAGGCTGTCCTCCGAGCCTCCTTTCTTCCAGACATCAGATGTGTTTGTACTGGCTATGGCATAGCCATCCTTTAGAGCCAACCTGTACTGGGCAGCACCATACAGAGAGTGGTGCTCACATTTCCACCACATCATGGCATTGGAGTCACAGCTGAACATTTTCAAGGAATCCGTGGGTTTGTTAATATCTAGGCCAAGGCACTTCTGGGATTGCAAATGAAAGAGCCGGTGCTGGGATACCCATTTCCATAACATGTCCTTACTTCCATCACAATCCTTTGCTACTATCCAGCCAACTAGTGGCTTGATGCACTTGCCTGTGTTTTCATTGAAGATGGTGAATGGATGATTACCTGCATTAAAGACAGGCAGTGAAAAAAGACATTTCAGGATTTGGAATTATGTGGCCAATGTGTCTTGCTCCCTGCTTGCTGATGATAGTTCTGAGCACTCCTAAACTGCTCCCACCCTCCCAACTTGATAAACTGTAATGTCCAACACAAGGAAGAAGGACAGAGATGGCTGGAGAGGCAGTTCAGTGTGTAGCAGAGCCAGTCTGTAGAACCAGCCTGCCTGGGATCATATTCTGTCTCTACTGCTACTTATTAGCCATGAGATCAGGGCACATTATTTAACCAGTATTTCAGTTTTCTCATTTGTAACACAGTACCTATTTTCTACTGTGAATGTGATAAAATGAATCAATAYAACTAAAGCCGAGAGTAGTTTGGGTATTTGTTCCTGCTAGYCTGTGAAAGAACCCCCACCCCCACCCAGATCCTGTTTAATAGGATACAGAAGCTCCTTAGTTTTCATCTTACCTAGACAGGTAGTCTGTGGTCAATGAAAAATATCCTGAGTCTATTAGGGTCCAAAACTCTGTCTTTTTACACTTTTGCTAGCATGGCAGGGAAAACTAGTAGATGAGAAATCAAAGCTTTGATCTCACTTTAAGTTCTTTCCCCAGTTTAAGTATGAAGTCAGGCCTCTGTGCTCCCCTCTTTATGGCAAAAGAGTGAGGCCACACAAAAGGAGTCTTTGCTTAAAGGCCACCTCCCTTGAGCCTTCTGTGGAAGACTGATTCATTGAGGTGTTTCAGAGAGGAGATTTCTAAGAGGTCAGAATAGTGGGGTGAAGGAGCTGGAGGAAATAAAAGAGGTCTGGGTTCTGAGGATGGGGGAATGTGTGATCAGCCCTATGGGACCTGAGGAGAGATTGGGGGATTAACTGTGTGGATTACCTGGGAAGACTGGATCATGAGACCAGGAGTGACCTGAGCCACCAAGTTCCAGCATGTTTGGACAAAGGGAAACTGAGAAGTAACCAGTGGGAACAGAAGACCAAAGCATTAGCCTTCCTGAATGTTCCCCTGGTGACCATCCTGAGCTGAAGAAGACCCCAACAATGACAGCAATTAAAGTTCTGACAGCCTGGCAGAATGGGAACAGAGTCAGATTTAATTAGATTATCCTGATAAGATAGGAACACATCGTTTTTTACACACCTGAGTTTGTGGAGCAAGATTCACATCTGTTATAACAAACAATAATAGAASGATTTGGTTAGTTCTTTAACAAAGAAAAAAATTAAAGTTTTAGCACAATTACTTTCATCATCATGTTGATGAAAGTAAAGCTGAAATGTTTTAGACAAGCTTCAACAATCATTATCAATGGACCAGAATTCAGCAGARGAACCTGAAAAAATTTGGTTCTCAAAAGGCACTTTCATTTTGATGCCTTCTTCACAATCACTGGTTTTACTAACACCAAATGCTATTTCTGGAAATAAATCAAGCTTTAGAGTTAAAAATTCACATATCTAGGGCTGGCAACTTGAGGGGAAATTTCACAATGTAAATAATAACTATAAAGTTAAAATCTGATTACATTTTTAACTTTGGGTGGAATTTTTTTTTGTTCTAAATAAGAGCAGTAAGAGGAACAACAAGGGCGGGGAACCAAAACAAAACAAAACAAAAAAATCTTTAAAGATTTTAATTATTTCTTCTTTCAAATTTGAATTTTAAAGCATTGCATAGGGTTGCAACTAGGTATGCTCATTATAGCAGCATCTCTCTCTTGCTCTTTCTTTTTTGACATCCCTCAACCATTCTCTCTCATGGTCACAGGTTGGGAGAGAAGAGTCAACAAGAAAAGGAAAGTGTACTCCTCTGATATGACCACTCATACTTTCTCTAATGTCCTTCTCCCACATATTCAACAGCTATGCAGATGCCTGATCTACCTTTTTCCCAACTATTTTCTCTCACCTCTTCAAAATAAATCTGGGTTCCAAAGTATAAGAAATTGTATCACAAAAAAAGAATTCTGCTCCTCTGGAGGCATGGCCACCACCCTCGTTGGAAACTTTCTCTCTTCTGTCCTGTAGTCTTGTCCTCTTTTCTGGGCACTCTGCTCTATGACACTTGACCCCAAACAGGTGATCTAGGCAAATGGCAGCTTTGCCTTCTTTTGCTTTTTGAGTTCTGTGTTTCAAGCTGCCCTCGTAGAATTCAATTGATTAGGTAAAAGTCTTAGTATATCAGAAAGGCCAGTGGAACAAGGAATTAGAAGTCCTAGATTAAAACTACCAGTTAGATGGGAGAACTTGTTGAAACCATTTAATCTCCCAGGGTCTTCATATCTCTAAACATCAGAGGAAAGCAGTGGAGTATAAGACATCTAAGCCACTTCTAGAGCTAATATCCTATGTTTCCACCAGATAACAACATTCCCATCCTTGCAAGTTTTACTAGCCTTTGCTGAATTCATCACATATTGTTCTTGAACAGATGCTCACGGTATTATTATGTAACACTACTGCTAGTGGTACTTGGGGTCATTCTAATTTCACTTGTACTGAGCATATACAGTTTGATGACAGTTTTGCTTTATAAAAATTATTTGGAAGATAATTTTTTTAAAAGTCAATGGACCTTTATTTTTTTTATTTAATTATTATATGTGGTGCTGAGGATTGAACCCAGTACCTCACATATTCCAGGCAAGTGTGCTAATGCTGAGCCACAGCCTCAGCCCGAGAATTTTTTTTTTTTTACTCTTTCCTATCTTCTACATGTGTTACTTATGGGACACCTGCAGATTTAACCTGGTAGGAGCTAGACTATAAGAGAGGTGTAGATTAGTATAGAACAACAACATCTTAATAAATGGCAAGATTCTTAAAAAACTGCAACATTTCTGACTGTAGAAACTTGCCACTTTCTAAACCTATTTGAACCAAATTTGTACTTAATACCAACCTTCAACACTTAAAGAGATCACTTAGCACAGAGAGTCATTATTAATATGACTTGAGGAAACTTGTTATTAGCCTTCATAGATAGTATATAAGCATACATTACATTACATACATAACAATACATTAGCTAAGGAGAATCTTTTTCTCTCATGAGTTTCCCCATCTTTCTTTATGGAGCTGTTCAATCTGCTTTAGTCTTTTGATACAATGGGATGGTGTGTTGAAGAGTGGGAAGAACTGAAAGAGTGTAAAAAACAAATTCCTTATTTAGAAATTTGTTACATGAAGGCATATAAACTATTTTAGAAATGTACTGCACTTTGAAAAGGTAATTACAGAGTTATTTATAAAACAAATTATTGATAGCCTTATATTTTATCTTGTTCACTTTACAACTTTACATCAGTCTTCAATGGAATTTTCATGTTTCTCTCCAAATATAAAATTGGGACAAATCTAAAAGGCAGAGATTGATGAAAAGAAGACCCATCACTCCTAGATTCACTTTTTATATAATTTWATATAAATACTCTAGTGGTATTTGAGAGAAAATGGATAAGTAGCATTATCATAAATTGTCAGTGAGATTTTAGTATTTTTACATACATCAAAGGAAAACCATCTCTTCTTGGCATTTTCTTGTTGTTTGATCACTAAGTAAGTCCTGACTTACAGGCCCTAGAACAAAGAGCTCCGAGGATTTGGCAGAGAAGCTGCATGACAACATTTTATAACTGCAGACCAATGGAGAGGGAAATGGCTTGGGATGACAGAAAGGATAAAGATCATGGCATTGATAATTTCAAGGGAACTTTCTCCATTCAATGTTAAACATTTTGTGGTCTCTGCCAAGTGTGCAGAGCATACAGGTGTAGTAGGAAAGAATCAGAAGTCTTGGTTTTTTAGTTTAAAAACAGGTCCTGAAGTAACATCATTTTGGTCCATAGCAAAATATTAGGCATCAAAAAGTCATCAAGGCCAGACTCTGTGGTGTGGACTGGTGAGAACCTCAGGAGTCCCTGAAGGATTGGTTTACTGCAAGCTGTTAGCTCTCCAAAGAGGCAAAAAAAGTAAACTAAGCTCTTGGCATCTCCTCAAGGACACAGAGTTCTCCTCCAACATTTGGGTGACCAAGACTACCTGCCCAAGCCTAGCGGTATACATGTAATGAGGTGAATATCATCACTAGCATCCTGAAGCTGACACACTGCCAAACAAGCTACCCAAATGGCTGAGTGTTCAAAATTCCAGTGCTTCCCCTAATAAGACCCCAAGTCTGGTCTGAAGGTTAGAGAAAGCCACCCAGAGCAGCAGCTAGGAGTGAGGAAATGATGCAGGAAAAAAAAAAATATTTGTGGGGCCCTAGTTCAGGGAGAATAGAGTTAAGCTGGTTYTCTTTGTTTTGGGTGGCTTAGATAGAACAGGGACTGTAGATTGTAAAAACCTTGAATTTTGTGGAGGAGACAGAATAGAACCAAGGCAGGTATATGAAGAAGCCAAGAGGAGAGCAATTGAAAGGTTAGTGTTTGCAGTTAGTTGCTGCAGTTAGATTTGGATTGTGGGGCAAGCAGAGTAGAATTCTAACAGCAATAAAGGATTGCCTTATTCATGGCTCTTCTGACCCAGCACAGAAGGCTAAAGGAGAATGGAAAAGAGTGTCAGATCAGGGTCCATTTAAAAGGCCCTTGATGTAGACAGAATGATGCCATTCTGAGAAACCTCTTACCATCTCTCTTCGAATAAAGTTTAAACCAGATAGTAACTTAGCTGCAAAGAAAGTAAAAGTCACAATCAACTTCATGGTTTTAAAAAGCTGTCTTGATAATCTTTTCCTTCCTCATACATGAAAGACTGTAGAAGTTGTGGGTGGGGACTGCCCAAAGAATGCCCATTATGCAGCCCAACCAAGAAACAAAGTCCTAGGCACACCCTTTGCCAAGGCAAAGAGAAAGTAAAAGCAAAGTCCAGTTGGTACCAAGGGAGATGATGAGGCTAGCACCACTCTCAGCATTATTAGTAATGGGCAAAAGTCTGTTACCTAGTGAGAGGCAGTGGGTTTCCAAGCGCTTTAGCTGGATGCCTTCGGCCTGTGTGGGTGTGGGGGTCATTTGGTGTTGATAAGCCAATTTGAAGAAAGGGTCACTGCTCCAGGCAATGGGAGAGAGCATCACAACTAACTCTTGGTCATGGTCACTTTTGGAAAAGAAGTCTTAACCTGACTTCCTTTTTGAGGCACACCGTGGGTGGACTGAAGTCAGGGAATTCGTGAGAATCCTTGGGGTGTGGTGGAACCTCATCTTTGCCACTGAGGGGCTATGGTGACCAAGGGGCGAGAGAATGGTGGGATAGCCTGTAGGAGATGGGGAACTCCATACCCCAGGGAAGCAACATTTTAGAGAAAGGTAGGCGAGAAAGGGGCAGAGAAAGCTCCCAGAAAATACTGAGTCTCCCCTCGGTAAATYCAGGTCCCCTCAACACCAGGAAGACCTTGCCCTTTCACGCCCAGTCGCGCCCTCCTCCCGGCCCCCGAGGGCAATAGAGCATTTTCTCCGCCACACTTCCTCGTCGGTTCCAGACCCCAAAGCAAAACAACGGTGACCTGACTCCGGAGCTCCGGCCTGACTCAGGCGGAGGAAAGTGGGCAGACCTGCAGCGTCGAGGCCCCCAGCGGGGGTAGTTGCGGACGCGCCCGTGGTTACCTGCAGGGTCAGAAGGCTCCGCCATCCCGAAGCACCAGAGGAGCAGCAGGAGGAGCCCCGCCGCGGGGCGAGGGGTCGCCCAGCGCATCCTCATGCTGAGCGGGCCCAAGCGGTCCCACTAGGTCTTCGGGGGCACGCGGCACCCACTGCTCCTGGTGAACCTAGCCTGCCTCGACAGTGAAGTTGCCACTAACCCCCGCGGGCGCACAGGCCCCGCCCCCTYTGCTGTTGGCCAATCAGATCTGCGTCTCCTCCGTCCCCGGGCGCGGTGGGGCAGGTGGGGCGCGGCCGGGYGGGGTGTGGCGGGGAGGGAGGAGGATTCCGGGGAGGCAGCTGTTGACACCTGCGAGGGGTTGCGACCGCAAGAAGGCGGGAAGTGCTCCTCAAGGGAAAGAGCCCGTGCAGCCCGCAGAGTTAGGGGGTCCAGGCTCGTGCTTCTTCATCTGCAAACTGGGGAGATGCGACACTCGCTGGGAAATGGCACTGTTCTGCCCAATGAGTTGGAACAATTTAGGAACTTGCCCTCCATCCAGCGCACCGCAGTCAGAGATGACTTCATTCTAAGACTGGGCTGAAAGGCACGCACATCCCCTCCCACTCCAGACGGGGAAAATGCACACTCGTCGTGTGGCCTCTGTGGCCAAGCCAAAGAATTCAGTAGTCCTTGGCAACGTCTTGGGTATTTTGATAGTTCAAACAAAGGTGAGATAAGGTACACTATAGTTTGACCCTGCAATTGCTGATTAAAAGCAAAAGTTAGCGCAGTGACTCTGTAATACTTCTAAGGATGATTTAGGTTTTTTAAATACTTAGYCTTTCAAGCAAGCTCTTTTCTTAATAATCTCACAGTAATCCAATAGAAATGTGAAAGTCTGGCACCCAGCATCTGAAATTTCAGGTCCCATGTACTGTCTCCCTGTAGACACTGCTATCTTAAGTAGGCAAAATGCCTAGTTGCCTAAGATGCTTGGATGTAAATGTCTTGTATTTTTAAACCCCATGTTTACTGAGCATATGATATGTTCATGGGATGGTATCCTTCCCTGTTCCCCAAAGGTTTCTATACGAATGTGTCTAGGTTGCCTTTCCTGATTCTAGCTACCAAGGTTTCAAACCTACTCTGGCTTTGTCCTCTTCCCAAGTTCTGGCMTTTTAGTTTCGTAGGTATAGCAAACACTTACCATTACAGAAACGTGGGCACATCATGAAATAGGAAGATGAGAAAACAACATCCCTTTCCTATTGAGCTTACTGAGTACTGAGGGGAGAATGAGGCCCATACAGTAACTCAGGGCAAAATGCATGGGGAGATCAAACCAGGTTTCAAGAAAGGCTCCATGTCTAAATGGGTAGGAATTTGATCAGGTCCAGTCGATGAGAGGAAAAGAGTGACAAAACAGAGACAGGAAATGTGAAGCAAGATCAAAAGACAATGAAGAGTCTAGTGCAGCTGCCTTGCAGAGTGTGTGTGTGTGTGTGTGTGTGTGTGTGTGTGTGTGTGTTGGCATGAGAAAGAGAAGGGGGGAACAAAAAGGAAGGAAGGAAAGCTGTTGTGGTGATAGCTTAAGTGGAAAAGACAGCAGAAGGGCAAGTTGTGGCTGTTTTGTGAAAGGCCTTGACTATGACACTGAAGACTGTCACTTTATTTACTTTATTCTCTAAGAGACAGTGGAAAATTCTGCATAAGAGAACCTGGGCTGGGCACCATGGCTCATGGCTATAATCTCAGTGGCTTGGGAGGCTAAGGCAGGAGGATCACGATTTCAAAGCCAGTCTCAGCAAAAGTGGGGCGTGAAGCAACTCAGTGAGATTGTGTCTCTAAAATCAGTC